GTGTAACTTTTTACTCCACAACACCAGTCAAATGCTTCCTTTTGTGATCTGATGTGGCTTCTTGTCACAGAATGAGGCAGAAAATATGTTCTATATGCTACTTTAAAAAGAATACATCGATTAGCAATAAATTAAGGTGACCATACGTCCTCTTTTCCCCGGACATGTCCTCTTTTTGGACCTACAAAAATGCGTCTGGCCGGGATTTCTTAATTGCCCAAAATGTCCAGGATTTGGCTGTGTTCTTAATCCCACTTCCGCTGAATCTCTGACCATTGCCTACATCTCTTTCATCTTCATTTGACCCTCTAAGTCTAGCACTCTCTATTCTAATGCTACATCTAATTTTATCTGCTTGTTTTTTTTATTACAAAACTTGACCCTCTAACACTTGCACTCACTATTCTATTTCTATTCTAGCTACTTGTTTTATTTATAAAGAAAAAATAGCCTCTAACACTAACATTCTCTATTCTTTCTCTATTCTTTCCACTTATTTTATTTTTATTTATTATAAATAATGACCTTCTAACACTAGCATTATCTGTTCTTTTTCTGTTCTATTGAATCGTTTTATTTTTATTTAAAAATTACCTTCTAACACTAGCATTCCCTATTCTTTTTCTATTCTTTCTACTTGTTTTCTTTTAATTTATTATAAAAACAAAATAAGCAAACAAACAAAAAAACTGCCCCCTACTGTCCTTTTTTTTTGAAAACTAAAATATGGTCACCCTATTATAAATATACTTAATTATTATGAAAATACCAGACATGGCTTAAATAACAAAGATAAACTATATTGTCGCAGTCGAGTGTTTATTGTCTTTGTTTTATCATTCAAAACGTTTATATGTTCTGTTTACTCAGTTACAGATATAATATGATGCCTTTGTCCATATAAGAGATTTCCTTGAGGGTCATGAGTTCTACTTCTGTGACTGGATATGTGGATTTTCTGTGCGAGGGCGCCCTCTGGCGACCAGTATGAATGAAACAGACATCTTGTGTTTATAGCGCTAATGGCCAATCCATCATTTTTGAGGGGAATTTTTATTTATTTATTTTTTAATAAGTATCGGTTCAGGCACCGTTTAGGCACTGGAACCATTTTAAAAGTATCGGATTTGGCACCGGTATCGAAAAAAAACAAACGATACTCAACCCTAGTTATAGTCATAGCGCCACCAGCTGGCAGAAGGAAGTTTGGCAAATAAAAATTACTTTGACATATTCCTCCTTTATTTTCCAATTTAAATGCATATTGCCCACCATTCACTGTTTTCCTAAAGCTACTGGGTGGTGGTGATCTTTCAACGCTGCTTGCAGCTTTACTTTAAATTGAGCTCTTTTAATAAGATCTACACTGTAAAACATGAAAATGTACTGATTGAAAATCACTTTCTTTGGTGCAGTACTCTAAGAAAAATATTTTTTTGAAGTTGTAAATAAAACAAAGATTATTAGACTATGTTTTAAAATATTATTGCAATTTTCTACTTAAACATAATTTACATCTTTAAGTAGAAATTTGTTCTTCTCTTTTCCAGAGTGTCATTCAGAGGACATTCCTACTCTCCTACATTTTGCGGCCCAGCATGGATTGCGAGACCTGGCCAGTGCTTTGCTGCAGTGTCCTGGATCCCAGCAGGCCCTTAAGATCCCCAACAGCCATGGACACACACCACTGGATCTTGCACACGTACATGGACACAACCAGCTCTATATACTCCTACAAGAATCATTGGTGAGTAAAAGTTCTGAAGCATAATTATTTCATACATCTTTTATAACCTGTCCAACTTTTATAACCCAAACCCATACAATTAGAAGCATCACTGGAAAGCAAATGTCAATAAAACACACCAGCTTCAGCCGTTACAAGAGTTTATGCAACATATACATATACAGATGTTATAACAAAATCCAACTCTTACCCCTCATGTTCTGTTGAGCTTGACTTGATGGGGGGGGGGGTCACAATTATGTATACATTATCTCACAGAAGTGAATACACCCCTCACATTTTTGTAAATATTTTATTATATCTTTTCATGTGACAACAATGAAGAAATGACACTTTGCTACAATGTAAAGTAGTGAGTGTACAGCTTGTATAACAGTGTACATTTGCTGTCCCCTCAAAATAACTCAACACACAGCCATTAATGTCTAAACCGCTGGCCACAAAAGTGAGTACACCCCTAAGTGAAAATGTCCAAATTGGGCCCAAAGTGTCAATATTTTGTGTGGCCACCATTATTTTCCAGCACTGCCTTAACCCTCTTGGGCATGGAGTTCACCAGAGCTTCACAGGTTGCCACTGGAGTCCTCTTCCACTCCTCCATGACGACATCACGGAGCTGGTGGATGTTAGAGACCTTGCGCTCCTCCACCTTCCATTTGAGGATGCCCCACAGATGCTCAATAGGGTTTAGGTCTGGAGACATGATTGGCCAATCCATCACTTTTACCCTCAGGTGTGTTTGGGGTCATTATCATGCTGGAATACTGCCCTGCGAACCCAGACTCCGAAGGGAGGGGATCATGCTCTGCTTCAGTATGTCACAGTACCGAGGCCTGTTCTGAGTGGAACCTGTCCTGTTAAACCGCTGTATGGTCTTGGCCACCGTGCTGCAGCTCAGTTTCAGGGTCTTGGCAATCTTCTTATAGCCTACGCCATCTTTATGTGGAGCAACAATTCTTTTTTTCAGATCCTCAGAGTGTTCTTTGCCATGAGGTGCCATGTTGAACTTCCAGTGACCAGTATGAGAGAGTGAGAGCGATAACACCAAATTTAACACACCTGCTCCCCATTCACACCTGAGACCTTGTAACACTAATGAATCACATGACACCGGGGAGAGAAAATGGCTAATTGGCCCAATTTGGACATTTTCACTTAGGGGTGTACTCACTTTTGTGGCCAGCGGTTTAGACATTAATGGCTATGAGTTGAGTTATTTTGAGTGACAGCAAATTTACACTCTTATACAAGCTGTACACTCACTACTTTACATTGTAGCAAAGTGTCATTTCTTCAGTGTTGTCACATGAAAAGATATAATAAAATATTTACAAAAATGTGAGGGGTGTACTCACTTCTGTGAGATACGGTATATAAAGATAATATTAGTAATTTTAAAATTAACCTCATTTTTACTTCAAATTGTTCTGATAAATTCTTCACTCCTCTACTAAAACTGCTCTAACGCTTTCACTGGTGAGTCCCCCCAGAGTTGTCACGCCCATGGTCAGCTCTGTGTTCCTGTCTTGTGTTTCTCTCTTCATGTGCTCTCCATGACCTAGTTTTCCCTCGTGTATTTCATGCCCTTATTTGGTTCTTCCTGTTCCTGTTCCTATTGAGTTCCATTTGTTTCAGCTGTGTCTTGTTAATTCCCTTGTTCAGTTCCGTTTGCTTAGGACCCTAGACACAGGAAACGCTGGGCTTGTGTTAAACGTCATTCCTGGTGCTATGTGTGTTTCTTTGTGGTTTCGATAAATAAAGACTGTATTTATGGGAATTCTCCTACGACTCCTTGTCTCCTCGCTCCACTCCTGTGAAACGTGACAGAACACCGGACCTATACAAGATGACAGAGGCTGAGGACAGGCTGTGGTGTTTGCGGCAGGCTGGTCGGAGGTTGGAGAGATATGTGGAGGAATTCCTTGAGCTTTCCAACCGGGTGAGCTGGCACAACGCCGCTCTTGGTGTGTGTTTCCAGCTGGGGCTGGACGATGATACGATCCGCTGCGATCTCCCCACGTGTGATGTTCCCCTGATCGAGCTGATTGGTCTCATCCTTTATTTAAACGGTTCCGATTACGAAGTGGAAGAAGTAAAGGAAAATTTAAAGTCTCCTCATCCAGCTCCCTCTGAAACAAGTCATGTCTCCCCAGCTCATCCCACGCCAGGTACCCTCACATACCTCACCAGCGGCTCCAACCACCTGCCCAACCTAAGGCACCCCCGAGTTCTCTGAAGCTCCTTCCTGGTCCTCAGCCCAGAGCCGCCGGCCGCTCGGAAGTCAAGGCCGCCAGCCGCTGCACTCTCAAGCCTGCCGGCCGCTCAGCAGTCAAGCCCGCCGGCAGCTCCATTGTCAAACCCGCCGGCCACTGCACTCTCACGCACGCTGGCCACTCAGCAGACAAGCCCGCAGGCTGCTCCATTGTCAAGCCCGCCAGCCGGTTCACTCCCAAGCCCTCAGCTGACAGCAGCAGTCTCCTTCACCGCTGCTCAAAAAAGGAGAATGCGGAGGAACCCCCTGAGTCTGCTCCAGTGTTGGCTCCAGCCCATATACCTGCATCCAGCCCAGAGGGGGCTCATGTTCCCATGTTAAGCCCAGAGAGGGCTCCTGTTCCCAAGCCAAGAGGGAGGGCTCCTGTCCCGAGTCCAGCCCAGAGAGGGCCCCTGTTTCCGAGTCAAGCCCAGGGAGGGCCGCTGCTCCTACGTCAGGCCCACAGAGGGCCTCAGGAACCGAAATTTCGCCCAAGGAATTTTTTTGGTGGGGCTATAGAGCTCCGGCCGTAGAGGTCAGGCTCAGTGCCGAGACCAAGGCCACGGAGGCCGCTCCGCCATGGCCCCTTGAACTGTCTGCTCCGCCATGGCCCATTGAACTGTCTGCTCCGTCATGGCCCCCTAGTCTGCCTGCTCCACCACGGCTCCCTAGTCTGCCTGCTCCGCCATGGCTCCCCAAACTGTCTGATCCGCCATGGCACCTGGAGCTGCCTGATCCACCATGGGTCCCAGATCCGGTACCGCCCTGGAGGCCATCCGTCTCACGTAAGCCTGTCCGTAGAGGCCTGTAGAGCGCCCACCCCCCCTCCCCGTTGGATGTTACGAGGCGCGTGGACGTGCCTTCCGGGAGGGGGAGGTAATGTCACGCCCATGCTCTGTGTTCCTGTCTTGTGTTTTTCTCCTCATGTGCTCTCCATGACCTAGTTTTCCCTCGTGTGTTTCATGCCTTTATTTGGTTCTTCCTCTTCCTGTTCATATTGAGTTCCATTTGTTTCAGCTGTGTCTTGTTAGTACCCTTGCTTAGTTCCTTGTACTTAAGCCCTGTGTTTTCCTGTGTCTAGCGTCCACTGTTATACGTCAATACCCGGTACCGGTGTGTGTTCCTTGTTCCTATTAAAGACTGTTAATTATAATTCTTCCACATCTCTGCGCTCCTTCGTCTCCTCACAGTAGTGCACCATGACAGCTGTCTTTTGTAAATTTGCAATTAATTTTTATGATACATGCAGGGAGAGGAAGAAAAAAAGCAGCAATAAAGACAAGAATGGAAATTAATTTGAAAAACAGATCAAGGGGATGTAATGATGAAAATAATAAAATAAATGGATATTCTGAATCAACAGAAAGGTTATTTTAGTACTATTACTAGTATTAATATTTGGAAGTAGCTTTTATTTTTATATTTTCAGGTTTCATTTAAATTTTAGACTTAGTATAAACATTTTTAACTTTTGTTTTTTAATAGTTTTTTTTCCATCTAGATTTTATATTTGATTTAAATGTACAAAAATTCATTAATTTTATTTTTTAATTATTATGTTGTTTATATATATATATTTTTTATTACAAAATTAATTTTTTAATTATTATGTTGTTTATATATATATTTTTTTTTATTACAAAATTAAGTTTTTTATTCAAAATATTTATAAACTTGCTTACCATATCATCAACTATCTGATATTTCAATTGAGTGTGTTTTGTCATTTAAAAACCGTTCTAAATTTTCTTGATTGTGATCTGTAACGTGAGATGGGCGCCGCCATGTTTGTTCACACTACAGTTCATAGAGTCCTGTCAGTCAGATTTACCACGCGTAAATTCATCAATTTCTCCCGAAATACATGCAAATAAGTGGCCGGTGAACTGGGAGAAGTATAGAGTGAACTTTATATTTGAATGGATTGTTATTGCTGCTTCCATAAACATCCGTGTGTATTTTACGAACTCTAAATGTATTGTTTTACTAGTACTTATGTGTATTTAAATGTCTGAAACCTAAAATAAACATTATATGGTTAAAACACTGCATAGTTGTGATTATATGACAGTGCAGCGGCGTCTCAGTGTCAGCCAAAGCGTGACAATGCAGTTTGAATTTGGCAGTTATGTGACGTCACCGAACGTTCTAAATCCTATATGTGGGACCATACTCCTAGGGGCACGGAATAAAAATCCCATATGTGGGACCGTGCCGCTCAGCAGGCTAACAGATATTTGAGGGGAAAAAAAGACAAAAAGAAACCCAGTGCATGCAGCATCAGTTACTTCATACTTCAATATTAGTAATTTTAAAATTAACCTAATTTTCACTTCAAATTCATCTGACATCCCTCTGCTCTAACACAAAACAGACATGCACTTTTCATAAAAGTAACAGTTATGCAATATAGTAACATGGTTTCTGTTCATTTGGGGTCCATTTGACCTCAGTAAAAAGACATAATAGAAAAATGCAAAAAACTACTACAATTTGTAGAAATGTCCTGCTACAAAATATTTACTAATCAAAGAATCATAGGACATGAACATTTAATGCATTTGTTTTTTTTATATCTGGAGTCTCGGAAACCCCAAAAGAGTAATATATAGTTCAGTCATGAAACTCTAGATGGCGCAGGCTGACAGGTTGTTAATGTAACTGATGATATTCAGAGAGTTAAACGACTTGGCACAAGCTGATTGGTTCATGTTGCATATGCAGCCAATGAGCTTACTGCCTTGTATTT